AAACCGAAAAATAGGGAAAATCCAATTGATGCCAATAAAGCTTCTTAAATTTTGGCGTTAGCTTCCTTTAGAATTCAGTTGTTAACACGCAGGCAGTTGGAAAAGAGTCAATGAGAAACAGGAGCAAAATGGCATGTTATTTGAAAAAACCTCAGAATCTATCATTGCAAGTATATCAAAAGACTTCTTGTATCGTCGATTAAATCGATTCGCATAGACGAGTTTTTTTGGAAAAAAAAATTGTACAATAAAAAGGGCGAGTCTAATTTCCAAATATATTTTGAACTTCATAGAATATTATAATTGCCAATTTTTTGACAAAATCAAAAAAAATTTAGATTTTTGACACAACTAAAACCAATTGGAAAAAACTGGATTCAGGAAATTTTGTATTCTGCTGGGAAATCTAAAAACCAAGCTCCTTTTTCGAAACTAGAAATCGATCACGTTTTTTTGCGCCATTTCAGCTTTCATAGCTGGAGAGTGCATTTTGCGTACCTTCTAGATAATGAACTGGAACCGAACTCAAAATGGGCATATAAGTATGAATGCACTTCTTTTTTTCTTGGAGCATTTTAACATTTGTGAAAAAAAAGAACATAATCATCACTACCTATATTTAAGTCTGAACTACGTTCATCGACTGTTAACTAGAAGTCAATGACGTTTTTCATTTTTAAAAATCTTTTCTGGTCGATAGTGGATTTTGCCTTCCTTTTAACAAAGGAAATGAACTGAACTTTAAAATCCAAACCACGGAAAATAAAATTTGAGCCTGACTTTCCTGAAAAAAGAAAAAAAAAATAATCACGACCTATATAAGAGTCTAAACTACATCCATCGACTCTTAAAAACAAAAAACATTCAATTCATACTGCCATGCCTAGCACTACGCTGCTTTACGCTACCCTGTCCCCTTCTGGCCTTGTACTATTCAGACTTGCCTTGCTTTACGATTCCCTTCCTTGCTTTGCGTTGCCCTGCCTTGAAACGACATGCAATTAAATATAGGATTTCTCGAAAAGTTTTCTTGCACCATGTTCTGGTCAGAAAAATCACATTTTTTCGTTCGGTATCCCTATGTTTTGAATGAAACGAAAGCCTTTCTTATACTACTGGAGAGAACTAACTACCACCTCAAAACTTAGCTTTAACCTCAAATTTTTCAAGATTCCTGTTTGTTTGACATATTTTTTTGTTCAGATTAAGAAATGATTTTTGCAATGCAAGAAGAGGTTTTTGTTATGGAAAGTAAGATAGGAAAATCAATCACCGCGTAATTTCGACAAATTTACTGATTTCTTTCTCGCATCCAGTTGTTTTTTTTTGCCAAAAACTTCACAAATTATTTGCGTTCTATCAACACTGATTGCAACAAAAGCATGCAGAAGATTAAAATCACCTTCAGTTTAAAATCTTAACCAATAAATGAAGTTTTCTTTAATCTTGTTTTTTGACCCCGAAAAGCCTGAAAAAACATGGAGCAATGTTTTTTAAGCATCTATCATTGCAAGTAGATCGAAAGATTTCCTGCAGTTGGACAACTTTTTCTTGAACGAAGTAAGTAACGCGTCTTTAGTAACTTATATTCACTGCTTTTCTTAGACTCGCCCTTTTTTGTACTAATTTTTTTCTGAAAAAAAACTGTTATCTATGCGAATCGATTTTGTCGACGAGACAAGAAGTTCAAATTTCACCATAATTCGTCTCGACAATTTTTCGTAATTGCTCAAGGTATGCAATTTGCGGTCATACCGCCGAATTGAGCACCGCAAAAGACTTTGCAGGGTGGAAAAAAATCATGACGAAACTTACTTTCAATTGAAAATCTCTACGCTAATAATTGTTCGATTATGACTAAATCGAATAAAACAGATCAAAAAATTACTTTCTAATCAAAGAGAAACCAGTTATCTTGAAGCCTTGATTAATTTTCGTCGAAAACTTAAAGATTTTCAAACCCACACTCTCCTGTTTCAAATAATTTTTAATAAATCATTATCACTTTCCAGCGGTACACTTTGATGCAATTGGTGCAACAAAGTCTACTGAACATACCTATTTTCTTTAACTAAACCTAAAAATAGCGAAAATCCAATTGATGCCAATAAAGCTTCTTAAATTTTGGCGTTAGCTTCCTTTAGAATTCAGTTGTTAACACGCAGACAGTTGGAAAAGAGTCAATGAGAAACAGGAACAAAATGCCTTGTTATTTGAAAAAACCTCAGAATCTATCATTGCCAGTATATCAAAAGACTTCTGGTATCGTCGATTAAATCGATTCGCATAGACGAGTTTCTTTTTGGAAAAAAAAATTGTACAATAAAAAGGGCGACTCTAATTTCCAAATATATTTTGAACTTCCAAGAATATTATAATTGCCAATTTTTTGACAAAATCAAAAAAAATTTAGATTTTTGACACAACTAAAACCAATTGGAAAAAACTGGATTCAGAAAATTTGTATTCTGCTGGGAAATCTAAAAACCAAGCTCCTTTTTCGAAACTAGAAATCGATCACGTTTTTTTGCGCCATTTCAGCCTTCATAGCTGGAGAGTGCATTTCGCGTACCTTCTAGCAAATGAACTGGAACCGAACTCAAAATGGGCATATAAGTATGAATGCACTTCTTTTGTTCTTGGAGCATTTTAAAATTTGTGAAAAAAATAGAACAAAAATCATCACTACCTATATTTAAGTCTGAACTACGTTCATCGACTGTTAACTAGAAGTCAATGACGTTTTTCATTTTTTAAAATCTTTTCTGGTCGATAGTGGATTTTGCCTTCCTTTTAACAAAGGCAATGAACTGAACTTTAAAATCCACACCACGGAAAATAAAATTTGAGCCTGACTTTCCTGAAAAAAGGAAAAAAATCATCACGACCTATATAAGAGTCTAAACTACATCCATCGACTCTTAAAAACAAAAAACATTCAATTCATACTGCCATGCCTAGCACTACGCTGCTTTACGCTACCCTGTCCCCTTCTGGCCTTGTACTATTCAGACTTGCCTTGCTTTACGATTCCCTTCCTTGCTTTGCGTTGCCCTGCCTTGAAACGACATGCAATTAAATATAGGATTTCTCGAAAAGTTTTCTTGCACCATGTTCTGGTCAGAAAAATCACATTTTTTCGTTCGGTATCCCTATGTTTTGAATGAAACGAAAGCCTTTCTTATACTACTGGAGAGAACTAACTACCACCTCAAAACTTAGCTTTAACCTCAAATTTTTTCAAGATTCCTGTTTGTTTGATATAATTTTTTGTTCAGATTAAGCAATGATTTTTGCAATGCAAGAAGAGGTTTTTGTTATGGAAAGTAAGATAGGAAAATCAATCACCGCGTAATTTCGACAAATTTACTGATTTCTTTCTCGCATCCAGTTGTTTTTTTTTGCCATAAACTTCACAAATTATTTGCGTTCTATCAACACTGATTGCAACAAAAGCATGCAGAAGATTAAAATCACCTTCAGTTTAAAATCTTAACCAATAAATGAAGTTTTCTTTAATCTTGTTTTTTGACCCCGAAAAGCCTGAAAAAACATGGAGCAATGTTTTTTAAGCATCTATCATTGCAAGTAGATCGAAAGATTTCCTGCAGTTGGACAACTTTTTCTTGAACGAAGTAAGTAACGCATCCTTAGTAACTTATATTCACTGCTTTTCTTAGACTCGCCCTTTTTTGTACTAATTTTTTTCTGAAAAAAAAACTGTTATCTATGCGAATCGATTTTGTCGACGAGACAAGAAGTTCAAATTTCACCATAATTCGTCTCGACAATTTTTCGTAATTGCTCAAGGTATGCAATTTGCGGTCATGACGAAACTTACTTTCAATCATGACGAAACTTACTTTCAATTGAAAAACTCTAGGCTAATAATTGTCCGATTATGACTAAATCGAATAAAACAGATCAAAAAATTACTTTCTAATCAAAGAGAAACCAGTTATCTTGAAGCCTTGATTAATTTTCGTCGAAAACATAAAAATTTTCAAACCCACACTCTCCTGTTTCAAATAATTTTTAATAAATCATTATCACTTTCCAGCGGTACACTTTGATGCAATTGGTGCAACAAAGCCTACTGAACATACCTATTTTCTTTAACTAAACCGAAAATAGCGAAAATCCAATTGATGCCAATAAAGCTTCTTAAATTTTGGCGTTAGCTTCCTTTAGAATTCAGTTGTTAACACGCAGACAGTTGGAAAAGAGTCAATGAGAAACAGGAACAAAATGCCTTGTTATTTGAAAAAACCTCAGAATCTATCATTGCCAGTATATCAAAAGACTTCTGGTATCGTCGATTAAATCGATTCGCATAGACGAGTTTTTTTTGGAAAAAAAAATTGTACAATAAAAAGGGCGAGTCTAATTTCCAAATATATTTTGAACTTCCAAGAATATTATTATTGCCAATTTTGTGATAAAATCAAAATAAATTTAGATTTTTGATACAACTAAAACCAATTGGAAAAAACTGGATTCAGAAAATTTGTATTCTGCTGGGAAATCTAAAAACCAAGCTCCTTTTTCGAAACTAGAAATCGATCACGTTTTTTTGCGCCATTTCAGCTTTCATAGCTGGAGAGTGCATTTCGCGTAACTTCTAGCAAATGAACTTGAACCGAACTCAAAATGGGCATATAAGTATGAATGCACTTCTTTTGTTCTTGGAGCATTTTGAAATTTGTGAAAAAAAAGAACAAAAATCATCACTACCTATATTTAAGTCTGAACTACGTTCATCGACTGTTAACTAGAAGTCAAAGACGTTTTTCATTTTTTAAAATCTTTTCTGGTCGATAGTGGATTTTGCCTTCCTTTTAACAAAGGAAATGAACTGAACTTAAAAATCCAAACCACGGAAAATAAAATTTGAGCCTGACTTTCCTGAAAAAAGGAAAAAAAATCATCACGACCTATATAAGAGTCTAAACTACATCCATCGACTCTTAAAAACAAAATACATTCAATTCATACTGTATTTCGTCTCTTTACATGAATATAACACATTTATTTACAGTTCATAGGCTAACATTTATACAAGATATGCACATCGGTTTTAATTTTTCAATTTAAATTTTATTCAAAAATAGTTATTTCTGGAACTTTTCAGCGGATTCACGAGTCCATCAACCCGAGATCTCGACTCACCACAGTCAGATGATCACGCATTCGAGCCTGCAAGGTATATTCTGGTTCAACTTTTGTATTTTCTAAGTGCTAGAATTTATTAAGTTGCTATAACGAATACTTGCCTCGTCCAACGTTCCTTTATTCTGCTCAATGTGCCATTCAAATGCTTGCTTGATCACTCTGAAACAGATTTCATTTACCTTAGATATTAAGAAACAGAATGGATCAAGTCGAATACATTATAACCTCGAGGGCTCAGACATATTTAATGCATCCTTTATTGAAGAACGGCTTAATTGATATAGAAAAAATATCTTAAAATTGAAGGCTTTATCAAAAATTAAGCAGAGTAATAATGTTGAATAGCTAATAGTTAAGCGTTTCCGGGGAGCGAAAACAGGCGAAAAGTAGGACCAAGATCAGGGCTGGCTGCTCGTATCAGGGCGAATCCCTGAATCTCTCCGACTGACATTTAACATCTTTGAGATAATTAATGATTTAAAAAAAAATGGCTAAGGCTTCAAAATAACTAAAAGTATCAACTTTTCAATTTAATTTACTGTATATCTTCTCCTAGCACGCTATGAAAAGTACAAAATGATGTACTTAATATCTAGTAAATTATTAATAAGATCAAATAGCTTGCCTCAAATGAACTTCGAATTATTTCTGAGCCCGATTAAATGGCCGCTTTCACAATTTTTCCACCGCTTCTTCGAAAGTCTATACAACGAGGTAGAAAATATGGGAAACTTTCAATCAAAACAGTGGGAAACTTTCAATCAAAACATCACTAAATAATGGCCGTGGCCATAATACTTATCATCACGGAAATTTCATCAATGCGAAACGAAGAACAAACGGAAAATTCCTATTGTCGCTTCCGAAAGCCTCGATTATCTGTTGTCATAAAGATGGTGCATGGTGACATAATGGCCACTTAAACATGGAAACGGCTCAACGTAAACACTGACTCACGAGTTAGTGGATATATTGCGTCGTATTATGTCCGCGGTCACTTCCCGCACGAACTCCAGGTAGGCCATCTCCTCGTTCCTAAAACACATTTCCACAAGATAACAAGACTCGCCAATCTTTTTTAACGAAAAAAAGATTGCTCAGATTTTCAAGCCAAAACAACAATATTTGAATCATAAACATTAAGTATTTGCATTAAACAGCAGACTTATAAAAACCGTTATTAGCTCACTTTTTATTGATTTCGTTGTCGTGCGAATGCCGAACTTCCTCGAGAATTGAATCGGATCTGAAATTGATATGACTCAATTTTACCAAATCAAGAATGACCAACTTAGCTAATAATAGATTCGCGGAAAACTTTAACGCACACGGATAATTATTTTCTTATATTAACGCAAACAAAAACAGAAAAACCTAACAAGTTGCAACAACAGAATTTCGAAACAGAACCTCTTGAAAAAACTTCAAACGTTAAAATTGGTTTTTTTGATAAAATTAGTTAAATTTGAGAAAATTGGTTCAATAGATAACTTTTTAACTCCACTGGGATATCTGAATAATAAAACATAACTAGAATAATTAGAATTCGATCACGTTTTTCGTGACCTTTACTTTTTCTTTTCGATGGTTGATTTTTCCTTCCTTATAGACAAATGAAATGCACTTCAAAAAAATCAAAAGTCAAACCGCTAAAAATTAAATTTTTGACTGAACAATATTCAAGACTTTCGTGAACAAAAAATCATCACGATCTATATAAGAGTACTGACTACGTTCAAACACAGAGGCGAAGTTTCGCTTCGCATAAACAAGCAAAATATGACAGAGAAGCTACTGGGAAAAAGAGATTGAGTAAAACTTTGAGTGATCAAAATTTCTTAAGTGACGCACGCCAATTATGAGTCTACATAATTGCTAAGTGCCGAATTTGCCAACTAACATTGCTTAACTTACCAACTAACATGCCTCAATTTATAGAGCGGACGCACTTTAACTAGTATAGAAAAAAGTTCAAAAAACATCCGACCCTTCCAAGGTTCGAACCTTCTTATTTTGTTGCGGGTCTCCTTCCCTACTTCTACGCTACAGATCCATGATACCTTGAAGTTAAAGTGTTATTTGTAATATAATAGTATGTGTTAATATCCTTAGCATTGGCTGTACTTAATAGCTGGTTATTGATGAACACATTTTGATGAACACTTTCAAAATGAACTTATTTTGTCGCAACGATCTTTGCGTCGCAACAATATTTGCGACTTACGTTGAAAAAAAGAAAGTTCATACTATAACACAAATTTTGCCTGTGTTAACAATATGAAATCGACTTTGGTAGACGTTTACAAAGTGAACCATATTGAAGCGCCTTCAATTTCGCCAAATCAGTAAAGTTGCAGCAGTTTGACACGTAGCCGAAGCGGAGCCACTTACGATAACAAAACACAACGTTGCAAGCTGACAGAAACAATATGAAACGAAAAATTAAAATAAAAAAAAGTCAAAATTAACCATTTCTACAGTATTCCAAAATTTTGACCCGACTGATGTTCAACTTGAGGCACGCACATCCAGCAACACAACCGCTGGCGTTGAACAAAAATTGAATCATTTTAGAAAGCGACAACTACGCCAAAAATACTTGGATAAAAGCCTTTTGAAAACAAAAACAAAGGGATGAAAAACAAGTTAAGTTCTGAAAATTTTTACGCCATTCAACCCCGGCAAAAAAACACTACGATAAAAATCTAATTTTTTCAGAAGTCGCAAAAAATGGGTCACTACATCGATAAAACATAAGCCGGAACAATTTAGGCCGAATAACGCTTTCAAGCCAAAATAGAAAAAAAAAAAATATATATATATATATATATATATATATATATATATATATATATATATATATATATATATATATATATATAACATCAGAATTAGTAACTTTCCAAGTTACGAAAATAATCAATAGAACTTTCAAGCCGAAAAAAAATTAAAATAATAGAAATAATGCAATGTCAGAAGTCGTAAATTTATAAATACAAATGAAAAAAAAAACACTATCAACGGTAGTAATCAATCCGACAAAACAAAAGTTCGGGCCTGAGTTGCCGCATTCTCGCGATTCACCCAACGAGGGATTAGTCGCTGCAAATGGCACCTTTGCAAACCATACCGTTTTTTGGAGTGCAGAGAGCATAATCGAATCGGGTTTTTGTTTTCGGAGCAGCCAAATCGACTGGGCTGCTCCGTTTATTAATAGACGTGTGGCTCCAGCCGATAGAGGCTGCAACGTTCCTTAGACTCGGCGAAAACAAACCGGACGCGCCCCAAATATTGGGCTAAAACAACAACAAAACAAACAGCCAACAGGCAGTTCGAAAAGAGTCAATGAATGCAATTAAACAGAAAAAAACACCGAATTGCTTTTAGAAAAAATTGAATATCAAAGAAAAAAAAGGTGCCCTTAAAGCTCGATTAAAAATGACACAATTTGGGAAAACTGGATCAATAAAAAACTTTTAATTTCGTTGGTTAATCTGATAATTAAATTCCGTTTTCAAAATTACAAGTCAATCACGTTTTTCATTTCTGCTGTTCGACAGTGGAGTTTGCCTTTCTTTCAAGAAAGGAAATGAAGTGAACTTGAAAAGAAATCTAAAGTGAAACAGCGAAAAATCACCAAAAAAATAACACACCAAAAAATCACCAAGACCTAATATCAGATAATCTAAGTATTATCATAGTAGACTAGGAACACTCACTGGGCGTTCAGGCGCTGTTTATTATCCCTTTCTACCCTGCGTCTCTCTGACTTCTCAACCCAAGTCCTGTAGTTATATTCATGTGTTCTAGCACTGGCAGTCACGGCAACTTCGTTCTCGTTTCCCCCACCTCCCTCAAAGTCCAAACGAGGTACAAAGGATGGGGATTTCATCTGGTCACCTGAGTCTCTACAGTAAACATAGTCATACAATAAAGCTAAACTCTGGCAGACAGCTGGCAAAACACATCCTAAATAAAAAAACATCAGCTTGTTGACTTTTTGAGAAATCACGCGACCTTATAATTGAAAAAGCACTTATTTCACAAGCACTTAAAAACTAGAGGCCAGCTAAAGCTGGAAATTCCTGTTTGATAATTTTTGAAACTTTTGTATTGATGCGAAAGGACAAGGGTAATTTCAAAAACAGACCTTTAGCAAAGAAAAGTAAATCCCAATATAATGACTTCAAAATCTGTTAATTTCATTAAAGTTAAGTTTTCAAGTTTTCTTAAAATTGAAGTCATTACAAGAGCTTGTTAGATTGAAAGATGCTTAAAACGTTGCTCATTACATTTGGGTGGGTACTTCTCGATAGAAGTCAAAAAGTTTCAAAAGTTTCGAGAATTTCCCACAACTTTTTCTAACCGTTGAACCCAAAATCTCAGATTTGTGAGTGTAATGACGTCAAAAGACGAGAAAAGACAGTTTCAAAAAAAGGTCAAAAAATCAAAAATTCGACATTTCCGAGTACCAAAGTTTTTGTGCAAAAAAATTTGGGCTTCACCGCTTATGCAGGGGAGCTTCCCACAACCTGTTCTATCCGTTGAACCCAGAATCTCAGATTTGGGAGGGTAGTTTTCGAGAAAAGGTAAAAAACATTCAAAAATTTGGGTCAAAAATTCCACCCACACACTTTTTCGAAGGCTGTAGAAAGTGGGGCAAGGTAAAAAGAGACTAGGAGTTTATGCAGGCACACAGGAGAGTGGGCGGAATTTTCATTGGTACCACTTTTTTGAAAATCGGCAGAGTAGTTTTTGAGAAAAACTAAACTTTTGAAAAAATTTTCTGAAGCGACTTTAAAAAAAAAACAATAATAAAACTAAAAAACAACAATAAAAACCCAAATCCATACGCTAAAGGTCAGATAAAGCTGGAAAATACCTGTTTGATAATTTTTGAAATTTTAGTATTGATGCGGAAGGACAAGGGTAATTTCAAAAACAGACCTATAGCAAAGAAAAGAAAATCCCGACTTCAAAATCTTATAATTTTTATCAACTACTTCAATTTGCTTTAAAATTTGAGTGATTACAAACGCTTGTTAGGTTGAAATATGCTTCAAACATTGCTCACTAGATTTAGGTGGGTATTGTTCAGAGAAGTCAAAAAGTTTCAAAAACGGTAAGAAAAAATCGAAAATTTGACTTTTCCGAGGGTCATAACTTTGTGTAAAAAAATTGAGCGTAGCGGCTTGTGCAAGGGAGCTTCCCACAAGTTGTTCTATCTATTGAACCCAATATCTCAGATTTTGACAAGTAGTTTTCTAGAGAAAGTATAAAAAAATCCTAAATATTGTGTCAAAAATCCCCCACAAACTTTTTCGAAGGCTGTAGAAAGTGGGGTAAGGAAAAAGAGTGGGGTAATGAATAAGTCAGCTGAAATTTACGTCATTAGAAAGATATAAGCTTGATTTGCGTGACTGTTACATAATATCATATAACAGTTACGCACTTCAGGCAGCTTTACATGATAGTTGTTTTATAATTCGGCTGGTTAATATGCTACTCCGAAAATAAACTTTTATTCTTTTCGATTATTATACCAATTATAATCTGAAGCAAAAAATTCCCCAAGGTTCATCCCTTAAATTGTGCTTGAAAATGACATACAGTGCATGGGGAAAATGCATAATTAGGTATTGTTATTGAGACCGCCCTTTCCAATCAAGAGTACATCAAAATTACTGGAAAAATGGCATATTGAACAAAAAAAATTTAACGCTACTTGCTGAGTGCCTGGCAAAGGGAAACTGATGCATATCAATACCCTTGTATATTTTCAAGAAGTTATTCCCTGAGAGTCATTCAATGAAAAACTGACGAACATATTGAAAAAAAAAACACTCGGCAATCAATTTTATTAACTCTTTTAATTTAGAAAGTCAATGTTCGAAAGTATAGACCAATGAGCTGTTAAAAATTAGGCAGTGTCAAATGACAAACAATATTTAGCTCTTCCGTCGAAAAAAAGTTTTGCTGTTCGATAGTGAAGCTTGCCTTCCTTTTAACAAGGAAATGAACTGAACTGAAAAAGAAATCAAAAGTCAAACCTCGAAAAAGTAAACTTGAGGCTGACCAAACCAACTCAGAGCAAGCGAAAACATCATTTACGAACAGTGAAAAATCGATTTGAAAAAGATTTGATTTTGACCAGTGTAGCAATTTGAGAAAGTTTAAATTAATTGCTTTCCTAAATTTTTTTTAAATTGTCCCAAAATCGAGAAAGACAAACATTACGCCGAGAAGTATGCAGATCATGGCGCTTTAGTTTGAATTCACTATCAAGCAAAGCATCAAGCTATTATGATTCAGTGATTCTGTAAAAAAAGTTTGACTGTGTTTTCCAATTGTATGTTCCGTTGGAAACGAGTTGATAAACACAAGGAAACATAAATTGAAATGACTTTTTCACTTATTAGATAAACTTAACCCAATTTGAAAAAACTGGATTATCAGGTGAATTTTTTCATCCCCTGGGAAATCTGAAATTCAAATCCGAAAGTATAAGTCAATCACGTTTTTCCTTGCCTTTAAACTATTGCTGTTAGAGAGTGGAGTTTCCAGGGGAGCTTCCCACAACCTGTTCTATCCGTTGAACCCAAAATCTCAGATTTGGGAGGGTAGTTTTCGAGAAAAGGTTAAAAACATTCAAAAATTTGGGTCAAAAATTCCACCCACACACTTTTTCGAAGGCTGTAGAAATTGAAACAAGGTAAAAAGAGACTAGGAGTTTATGCAGGCACACAGGAGAGTGGGCGGAATTTCCATTGGCACCACTTTTTTGAAAATCGTCAGAGTAGTTTTTGAGAAAAACTAAACTTTTGAAATAAATTTCAGAAGCGTCTTTAAAAAAACAATAAAAAAACTAAAAAACAACAAAAAAAAACCCAACCCCATACACTAAAGGCCAGATAAAGCTGGAAAAAACAGTTTGATAATTTTTGAAATTTTGGTATTGATGCGGAAGGACAAGGGTAATTTCAAAAACAGACCTATAGCTAAGAAAAGAAAATCCCGACTTCAAAATCTTATAATTTTTATCAACTACTTTTTAAAATTTGAGTAATTAAAATTTAACATTTTTAAAATTTGAGTGATTACAAACGCTTGTTAGGTTGATATATGCTTCAAACATTGCTCACTAGATTTAGGTGGGTAGTTTTTTAGAGCAGTCAAAAAGTTTCAAAAACGGTAAGAAAAAATCGAAAATTTGACTTTTCCGAGGGTCATAACTTTGTGTAAAAAAATTGAGCGTAGCGGCTTGTGCAAGTGAGCTTCCCACAAGTTGTTCTATCCGTTGAACCCAAAATCTCAGATTTGGACAAGTAGTTTTCTAGAGAAACTATAAAAAAAAATCCGAAATATTGTGTCAAAAATCTACCAAACACTTTTTCGAAGGCTGTAGAAAGTGGGGTGAGGAAAAAGAGTGGGGTAATGAACAAGCCAGCTAAAATTTACGTCATTTGAAAGAGATTAGCTTGATTTGCGTAACTGTTACGTAATATCATGTAACAGTTACGCACTTTAGGCAGCTTTACATGATAGTTGTTTTATAATTCGGCTGGTTAATATGCTACTCAGAAAAAAAACTTATATTCTTCTCGAACATTATACCAATTATATTCTGAAGCAAAAAATTCCCCAAGGTTCATACCTTAATTTGTGCTTGAAAATGACAGACAGTGCATGGGAAAATGCATAATTAGGTATTGTTATTGAGACCGCCCTTTCCAAACAAGAGTACATCAAAATTACTGAAAAATGGCATATTGAACAAAAAACATTTAATGCTAGTTGCTGAGTGCCTGGCAAAGGGAAACTGATGCATATCAATACCCTTGTATATTTTCGAGAAGTTATTCCCTGAGAGTCATTCAATGAAAAACTGACGAACATACTGAAAAAAACACTCGGCAATCAATTTTATTAACTCTTTTAATTTCGAAAGTCAATGTTCGAAAGTATAGACCAATGAGCTGTTAAAAAATAGCCAGTGTCAAATGACAAACAATATCTAGCTCTTCCGTCGAAAAAAAAGTTTTGCTGTTCGATAGTGAAGCTTGCCTTCCTTTTAACAAGGAAATGAACTGAACTGAAAAAGAAATCAGAAGTCAAACCTCGAAAAAGTAAACTTGAGGCTGACCAAACCAACTCAGAGCAAGCGAAAACATCATTTACGAACAGTGAAAAATCGATTTGAAAATGATTTGATTTTGACCAGTGTAGCAATTTGAGAAAGTTTAAATTAATTGCTTTCCTAAATTTTTTTAAATTGTCCCAAAACCGAGAAAGACAAACATTACGCCGAGAAGTTTGCAGATCATGGCGCTTTAGTTTGAATTCACTATCAAGCAAAGCATCAAGCTATTATGATTCAGTGATTCTGTAAAAAAGTTAAACTGTATTTTCCAATTGTATGTTCCGTTGGAAACGAGTTGATAAACACAAGGAAACATAAATTGAAATGACTTTTTCACTTATTAGATAAACTTATCCCAATTTGAAAAAACTGGATTATCAGGTGATTTTTTTCCCTGGGAAATCTGAAATTTAAATCCGAAAGTATAAGTCAATCACGTTTTTCGTTACCTTTAAACTGTTGCTGTTAGATATTGGAGTTTACCTTCAATTTACCAGAAGAAATGAACTAAACTTAAAAAGAAATCAGAAGTAACAACAGCGAATTATCAAATTTGAGCGAGCCCGAACAAATTTGAAAGCTGTTCCTAAAGATATAGTCTGAAAAACGTTAATCAGCTCTTAAAAACCCCATTCGAGCAGCGGCATCACTGTTTCACACATCGGCAAATCTGCACTTCGCATACAAGCCACAATTGCGAAAGAGAGCTATGTAATTGCAAGAAACAATCAGCCAACTGATAGTTGGAAAAATTTAATGAGCGCAAGGAAAGAAAAAATTGACTTGTTTTTCGAAAATTTAAACTTCCACTTCAACTTCCGAATTTTAACGAAGAAAATATACCGTTAAAGCTCTTTAAACTTCTCAAACAATTTAGGACTGGTGCTGTTGTGATTAAATCAACCCAATTTTGAGAAAACTGGATCAATAGGTAAAGTTTTTATTTTGCTGGGAAATTTGATAATTGAATTCCAATTTCGAAATTCAAAGACAATCATATTTTCATTTTTGCAGTTCGATAGATTAATTTACCTTTCCTTTAAAAAAGGAAATGAAGTTAACTTAAAAAAAAAACCGCGAAAAATCAAACACGCCGAAAAAATCACCAATACCTATATAAGAGTAGTCACTTCGTTCATTACTCTTTACAAAAACAAATCAACTTGGAGGAGAAATCTACGTACTCATGGATTGGGACCACCGACACTCAAAGAGATTAGAGCCACAAATTACGAGAATTTGTCTTCCTGGCAGAGACAGCTGTCCAAGCTGTCTAAGAGAGTTTACATAACAGTAAATACTGATGGCGGATAAAACACATGCTACTAATCGTCGCCAAGAAAATCGCACACTAATTTTCTGAGCAAGATTTTCTGTGAGTTAACCGGGAAAAAATTAACTCGTATTATACCTCAAATGTTTACTATGTAAGCATCGATTGTGTTTTTACTTAATTAACCAAATGAGAGGGACTGAAGGAAGACATATCATATTACATAACAGGCAATACGTAATTTTCAGACGCAGAGACGAAGCATAGCATCGCAACACTTGCGATACAGTACACATATATCAATGCAGGCTGGCAGACAAAAAACGTCCAAAAAACTTGAAGATTTCATTTGTATTCCACAAAAAAATATCAACTTGGGGAAAAATTTGAGAACGGCAAAAAACAGCACATAATCAAGCGGTAATTAGGAAGACAATGTTTGGGTAGACATTAAAAGAATCATAAAATCTCAAAGACTACAAATTCTTGCCTAACACTCATCCAAAACTTTTTTTGCTTTGAACGACCTGTTATGAGGCAACTTAACCAATAAAACATGAACCGAAATCATTCAAAGCGAAAACGTAATAATTAAAAACCGGCATCTTTAAACATAGACAATCGAAGATAGGAAAAGAGTAATGAACGCAAGTAAACATTAAAAAAAAACAGACTTTCTTGAAAAAATCTTTCGAATTTCAAAGAAAAAATAGATGCCCTTTAAGCTCTTTTAGTTTCTAGAACAATTTATGATTTGCGCTTTTTTGATAACATGAAACCAACTTGAGAAAACTGGATCAATAGGTAAAATTTTTATTCCGCTGGGAATAAAAACTATCTTAAAAATAAATTCCACTTTCGAAACTAGAAATCGTTCACGTTTTTTTGCGCCATTTCCACGTTCGTATTTGGAGAGTGCTATTTACGTCACTTTCAGCAGATGAATTTCAATTCAGCTCAAAAAGTGCATTATACTCAAGAGCATAAATATTTTAAGACTTTTTTCTGAAAAAAAAAACAAAAAATAATCAGCAAGACCTATATAAGAGTCTTCATTACGTTCATTACTCTTAAAAGTAATACGGCACTCCAATATGGTGAAAAAATCCCTGATTCTTCAAGAAAATCCATGCTTCGGATAATCGGTTAACAAAAAATAAGCAGGATAACGATAGTTCGACAATTCAAGCTATTCCAGAAAAAAAAAACAAGCTTCGAGCCCGGGACCATAAGCTCCCAAGGCACGCCCTTTACAACAAGATTTGTAAGGTTTTTACGGGAAAGAAGTCTAGGTCCCTATTACAAGTATAATCGAAAATGAAACAAAAAGGCTATACCTTTTTACAGTACTTTTATGTGCGCTTTCTGACTTCGCAATTGCTGGCTCATAGTCGTATACGTCCTTGTAATGTCGTAACGCAGAGCTCGTCGCTTCGGTGTAGCTGTTTATGCGGGGCGTGAATGGTTTGTTCGGCGAGGTAAAGTAGTGTTCGTGGTAGTCTAGAGGATCATATGAACACCTCAGATTGTTCACAAACCGATTCTGTGTGGAAGATCTTGGAGGGTTGAAATCTTCGTATCCGAGAGGTATGTCCACCTGAAATAACATTGATCTCTTGTCGATGAGATGACTTCCCAATTCACGGACATAATTTACTTTCCTTGATCTAACAATAAATTAGTACAACAAATAAACAATTCACGGATGTTTTCGACAAGTTGTAATCATCATTCTCGAAATAAATTGTATTGAGCTATTATTACTAGATTGGTAGTATCGAAGTCCAAACAGACCAAACTAACAAGCTGCTCTGCTCTAAAAATAAATATTCACACAGAGGCGAAGCTACACTTAGCGTACACGTGCGAGAAAATAGAAAAACGCAACTATAAAAAGGCCACGAAAAAGGAGAAAGGGGAATAAAAAGCAATAAGTCTTGGAAAGTTATAACATTCTATGCGCCGGATTCAAAGCAGAGAACAAGAGATTCAGAGTCTTACGTCCTACCAATTGCTCCATGCCCTTTTGTAGACAGTCAAATATTCACGCCCTGCTGAAACTGGAGGTAAACTGACTTCAAAAGGTCAAAAAAGGAATTAACCAAAACCGCTGTAGTTTTTCTGCTGAAGTAAGTGATTTGCTGCTTTTTAGTGAAAATTCCTACCACTCGTTATCTTAATTGAAACTCCAATCCCAGATACAGCTGGGTAGTTTTCGATTTTCCAAAAAAAAACTGTGAAAAAACCAAAACAGACTTTTCCTTAATCAATAACGCTTTTTCTAATAAAACAATGGAAGGCTCCTAGTACAGGTCAGACGTCTAAAAGCATTCTTTTTGTCGATTGAACCTTACCCTCAGATTCGGCTAGCTACATATCGAAAAAAAAAACTGACATAAACGGTCAAAGATGGTCTTCTCCCAGGTTTATACTGATTTCTCTAGAAAGCCTGGGGAGGCTTGAGCAGTAAAAACGCCTTGTTCTTTCATTTGAAAATTAAAGCTCGAATTTGATAGGGCAATTCAAGTAAAATATCAGAAACCGGAAAAAGGCTAAAAAAAAACAATTGAACTTTTTTCAGGGCCATGTTGGATTTTCTTCAACCAATAATGCAGAAAAGATCCCAACCTTTTTGTCTTGCGGATTGGAAAAAACGGACACCGTAGTATGACACAACGTTCCGCTTGCGTTATCAATGCAATGTCAACAAAACTTCGGTGCTAAATTTGACGGGGAACTCAAATATTATTAAAACATAATCGCATCAAAAAATAAACAATAGAAAAGTGTGCGCGCATCAAATCTCATCAGCTCAAAGATTCAGGCGAAGGACGTCTCTATAGACAAAAATGTTTCCATTGCTCGCTTCGAACAAATTCAGTTTTTAATGACTACTTGTTTCCTGCGATTTGCTAAAAAAAACTGCTGCTCTTTTGAGGCGTAAGCTTTCAAATTCACCCACCAAGTGGGAAGGTTCGTAAAATCTAAATCCCATTTACAAGTACAATAGCTCACCTCACTTATTTTTTTAATTCTAGCTCAGAAGGCAATTGATTGCAGAATGGCTATTTACATTTACAAAAGAAGGTCAAACAACAGAGCGATAAGTTCAGACCGTAATTTATTGCCACTGGAATGCTTTGTAAAATATGAAGGTCGAATCATAAGTAAAACCCTAAAAATCCAGTCCATAAGAAATTTATGTGTTACGATGCAAAATCTGATTTTCAAGAATAGTTTTTCAAGTACTGGAAGAAATTATACCATATCGAACCTTTTTAAGGTTAAAATTATTTTATGATTGAAAAATCTGAAAAATTTCACATCAGAAAAAATTAGAAAAACAAGCGAATTTTTTCCACATTCATGTAAGATTTTCTAAAGAAAAGTTTAAAAACCAATAATACAGGAAAGATCCCTACTTTCTTGTCTTGCGGATTGGAAAAAAATGGATATCGTAGTATGACATTACGTTCCGCTTCCGTTATCAATTCTAAAAGAAATTGGCTAATTATTTTTTGAGAAAAGTGAAAAAAAAATGCACATAAACGGCAAACAAATAGATTACTCCTTGATTTATATTGATTTCATTATATAAGTTTTTCAAAAACAAATTTTCGAGCATCAGAGGAAATTAGTTTTTCAGGTAGCAGACGAACTTTACTTGTCCATCCACCGAAAATTTTAAAAACCAAGCCATTATAAAACAGATTCAGCAAGGCGTTTTGTAACAAAAGTGAAAGAAAAATTTGTCAAAAACGATCAACAAATGTACTTGGTTTATATTGATTTCACTACCAAAACCAAAGAGTTTTTCAAGAAAAAATTTTCGAGTATCAGAGGAAATTAGTATTTCAAGCACCACGATAACTTATACTTATACATCAAATAAATTAACTCAAAGCAAAGTTTTGATCCGCCGAAAAAATTTAAAATCCAACCCATTGTCAAACAGATTTGGCAAGGTGTTCTTTGATAAAGAAAGAAAGCAAGAAAAAATTGACAAAAATAGGACCAAGGAGAACAGTAGGACTTCTCCTTGGTTTATACATATTTCAATAACAAACTTAGGAAGTATAAGTTGATGCAGTGAAACTTTTTTCCATTGAAACCTTAATCTGAGATTTATTAGGACAAACCCAAAATAAAAAAATCTCAGAAAAACTAAAAAAAGAAATGAACTTTTTTCAGCGCAATGTTTGATTTTCTACAGAAAACAATTGTGGAAAAAATAGACATGGAAGATCCCTATCTTCTTTTCTTGAGGTTGAACCCCTTATCAGATAAATTGGAGGGATTTTTCTGGAACGAGCTAAGTTCAAAAACGATCAAAAAATATCACTTTTCAAGCAAAATGCTTTTTCTTTTGAAACAAAATCGAACCCTTATGCACTTTCTTCAACTTTTAGATCGCCAGAACTTTTTTATTTGAAAACTAGGACGTAGAGGTTACCGCAGAGGAGACACTCATGACAAGCCCTATCAATTAACCTTTTACCTTTTGCTTAATTGTTCTGCCAAACTGAGACTAATGAAATAAATAGGAATAAGAGGATCAAACAGCTCCCACTTGGAATGTTTTGAAGGGCGTTGAACGCGGGCCAGGTAAAAAGAGACTAGCTTAACACGCATAACTACAATGACGCAAGTAGTAGTAGTTTAGGCACTTAAACACCTGGGAAGGAGGTGAGCAGGATACGGATTCGTGCAAGAGCAAAACATAAAAATTACTTCCTTCAATTGTACTAATTAATGATTAATTTAGTCTACACAACTGTATCCTGCTCCCCCCGCCCCGAAAAAAAAACTAAAATTAAACTATTATTAACTGAAGTAAAAGTTTTAAAAAATACTTGAACTAATTAATAACTACTTTTAGCTCTCTACTTAACCCTATCCTGCCCCCCCCCAAAAAAAACTATTATTCAAAAGATAATGTTGCAGTCTGCTTACCTTAACGAGTTTTAGCCCACAAAGTTTGAAGTAGTTATCCAAAATCCACCATGAATAACTTGTAGCTAACCAGTAGTAATTATATTACAAAAAAAAAGAAATAATTAAAAATCAATTTTTTTTAATTAAAAATTGATTTTAAGTTTTATTGAAACCCTCTAGATCAGACCATTTCTCATGTACACTTTTATTTATTCAAATTGAGAAAAACATTCGAAAAATTTTCCTGTCTTTTCTTTTCTACTAATTCATTTCGAAAAACTTCTATATCAATCCAGGCTAAATTGAAAGTTTCTATAGCTTTGCTCAAAAATCATTACAATTAATTGATAATCAAGTTCGAGTTGTCGCAATCAGAACGTTGAAGATTGTATAGTAAACACGCGCAAAGTTTTATAGAAATATTTAACTCTTTAAATGAAATCTCCAACGACTCTGGTTTTTGGTCAGAAGATAACGATATACCGGAAATCGAAACAAAAAATTTGAAAATACATGGATTAAATCATCTGGAACTGTTTGTGTTTTAAAAGAGACGAAAACCAAAATAGATAGAAAAGTAGAAAAGCTATCACGCGAGTCAAAGAACCTGTCTACATAAAAAGATCAACATCAGTACAGTAGCAATTAGTAATTAAAGAAATGCAGTGAAAAAATGTAAATTGTTTTGGTTTAACTTCTCTTAAAAGTATATCAAAAAAGTTAACACAGCAATCAGTGAGATTGAACGCGAGTAAATTTAAACATCAAAAATACATGCAATCATTTGTTCAGAAAAATTATTGCAGTTTTTTATTATTTATATTTCAAAAATGCTAAAACTGATTATTAATTCGAAGGCTTTGTAGAAAAAGTATCAATTAGAACGCGACATTTCCAATAGAAGTCATAGATTTTTAAATCTGATTATCTAATTTGATGTGGTTATCAACAAGCCAAAAACCACGATTGACACACTCGTATGTTTTTTTAGTTGGAAGCACTCTCTTATTTTCCAAGTGGATTAGAGCCTTTTGTTTATGTTAAAGCCTTTTGTTTTGTTAAAGCCTTTCATAGCCATTTTGTTTATTTTCCTGATCACTAAAAGCACAGTACGTTTCACTACTCAAGCAAACCATCTCAGTTCCAATCCATTCCACTTTAGTAGAACTAAGATCATGGGCAAAATCAAGCCAGAATGGGCAATTCAAAAACTTCATGTTCAATATGCATTGGAAAGTAATAAGACGAATGTTTTCACATAATGTAATAACAGGATAAGGAAATAAATATACATGATTGAAAAACAAAGCAAATTCGCTTTTAGTAGGGGAGTCCCACTTTTTTTAAAATTTCTATGCACACCTTTAATCTTGCATCTTTTTTATCGCTCTTTTGCATTTAAAATTCAAAACAATTTTCCTTGTATAATATATCCATGTATTCAATGTATTTCTTAAAATTAAAGTCCGAATGTGCACCAAATCTATCATTTTCAACAGCCAAAATAATTTCTGGACTAAAATACATATTTTCTGAATCTGAATTCGGTAAAAATCTGATAAGACTAGTGATAATCAAAATTTCAAAAAAAAACATCAAAATTCTCCTTTGCAAAATATGGCGAGGAAAGAAAAAGCTTCATTCTAGATTAAATAAATGATG